AGGACAGACGCTTTAAAAACTGACGTCAATTTGTTAAATGGAATTCTGGGTTGCAGAAAGAGTGTAAGAGTGTTCACGCCCCTTGACCAGCGGTCGGGAAGAGAGCGATCCTGGAAAGTAATTCTTTCATCCGATCGAATTGTAGCTAAATGTGCATGTCTAGCTAGTCGCCAAACAGATGCTTAACTGAGTTCTATGGGTTTTTTTCTTTCGGTCATTTTTATTGTTTCTAAAAACCAATCAAAAAAGATCCTGAAAAAGAACTCTCCAAAGTCGCTCGTTTCATCAAGTCAATAGCTTATACAACATCTAACTTGCCTTTGAACTCTTCTGCCGAGAACCCGATGTTCTGGTACAACGATTGCTTGTCGTGGACTGATAACGGAAGGTCAAGTGAATGGGTGGGCGACGTCACTTCCTGTTTGAGCTGAGCTATCATCAAGGTAAAGTTGGGTCTTTGTGAAGCATCTTTGTGCCAACAACTCTTCATTATTTGGTACACGTGGTCCGGACAGTCGTCGGGTTGACCCAGAACTACCCCCTGTGATAAAAATTATATTCTCTGATTACGTACATGTGTTATGAGATTTGATGGTTAGTTTCAAAGAGGTAAATGTAAAAAGTATTATATTGCGCTAAATTTTTTTCTCTATTTTTTTACAGACGGATTGATCGAGTAAATCAAAAGAAAACAAGAGTTGTCGCTTCATCCGTTTATTGTGCCGTCAAAATCATTAAAGGTTACAAAGAAAACAACAAGTATTTTTTCTTTGTTCTCTTACCGCAGCCCCTGTGGCGCAATGGACTAGCGTGTTGGACTTCTAATTCAAAGGTTGTGGGTTCGAGTCCCACCAGGGGTAGAATCTTTTTTCCTTCATTTCAAGCCAACACGGTTTTTACATTTTACTTCACTGTTCTGTTGTGATGACGAACAATTTTAAAATCGAAACTCTATTTTTAGAACGCTAATACGCAGAATAATCGATGAGATATTTTACAGATTATTCTGTAAATACTGAAAGAGACGAGCAGACACTTAAACTGATTCGAATAAACATCAACCGGAGGAGGAAAAAAAAAATTCATCGCTGACCCCGACGTGACTTGAACACGCAGCCTTCTGATCTGGAGTCAGACGCGCTACCATTGCGCCACGGAGTCAACCCATACATTGCTAGAAGAAAAATTAATATTTGAATACGGCACGGTAGACGGAATACATTATTGTGTGAACTGGAGCGTTTCTTTGATTTTTTTTTTTTCCACTGGGATAATGACATAATGGTCGAGTTCCTTCGCAATCTTGAATAGAAAAAAGGGAAATACATGCAATACAAAATCCATGAATTACATAGGCGTCACGGTAGTTTTCGTGACGTCATTATTTTCCCAGATTAAAAATTAACAATTAACAATTAACAATTCCTCTGAAGTTTTAGTTTCATCAGATACAAGACCCTCTAATAAAGAAATTGACGTTTTACAAAGTTTAAGCTCTATGGGCTACCTCATTTTGTTATTGAGAACGTTTGAATTTCCAAGTTTATGCATTGCGTGACAAAAAAATGGCGGCCCGAGAAGGCTGTCGCGTAGTATCGCTCAACAGAACAGTCCTTGCTCGAGAAAAATCATTACTTTCCATGTGTTGGAACTATAAAGTAATAGTTTTTCGTTTCAATGGCGAAACTCAATGGCAGATGTTTCTGTTACTTTAGGGCCGCCATATGTTGGTGCCGGAAGGTCCCGATGCAAAGCTCCACAAATTTGGGTGATAACTCGCGCGAATTAAACGCTGCACAGGCCTAAACCTTGCAATTGGTGAGGTTGTTTACATATCAATTAATTATCATTTCCCAGATTCTTGCCTTAATTGAATTATTGAATGCTTGGGCGGTATACGTGAATTTTTGAGAAAAACTTCTCGCAGTAGCTTTTTTCTCTCTTTTTTTTTCTTAATCTTCTCGCAGAAGATTTATCAGAAAGCCACAAAACGTGCATACCAAAATCTCAGATATTATTTTCAAAACAGATTTTTGCAAACTTTATAGACTTATGACAAACCTGTTTAATAAACTCCACAACTTCTTCATTTGTGTAGCCATAATAAGGCTGCAGAGCAAGAGTGTAGATTTCCCACAAAAGGACACCAAACGAATAAATATCAGACTCCACGGTGAACTTTCCAAGCAGTAAAGCCTCGGGAGGCATCCAGCGGATTGGTAACATAACTTTGCCTTCCACCTGAGGGAAATAAAAGCGATGTTTTTACATGTTCACCCCTGTTCCACAAAAATGCTTTAACAGGCATGACGGAAAACAGCTTAACACAAATGACAGCAAATTGTCCATTTTGATATATTAAAATTCTACCTTCGCTCCGAGGCAAACAAGCCAAATCACATCGAGTTCGAGAGATGAATAATATATTAATCTCTTTTGTTTCATTCCCCCAAGCCTCGGAGCCTGGTTAGAATTTAATTTATCGTAATTGGCCCTGAATTGATGAAATTAATTCGTCAGCGTTCCTTATTTCGAATTTCTGAGAACTAATCAGAATACTCTGTTTCGTGAACGACCAGTCTACGGTATTGCTATCAGGGGCTCCCGTCTGTAACCACAGATCTTTTATAAATATAGACAACACATTGACCGATCATCATAAACGTATATTTTCGTAAGCATTCTCTGAAGTGAACAAATTCTTAAACGGAGAAGTAGAATTCAGCGAACCTCGACGTCACATTGATGTAATTTACGCACGCAGTCCTGCATCTCCGGCCATGTCTGCGTCCACGCATGATCAATATTAGTCTCGTACCCAGACTATTCTTAGCATTTTCGGTCATCTCTGCCGGAGCGGCTTACCTTGTAGTAGTCCGAAGCGTAGATGTCTCTAGACATTCCAAAGTCAGCGATCTTTACAATGAGACCTGTACCCACAAGACAATTTCTTGTAGCCACGTCCCTGTGAACAAATCGGAGCATCTGAAGGTGTTCCATGCCAGCAGCACATTGTAATGAGATGGACATCAAGTCATCTGCCGTGAGACTGACTGTAAACAAATAAAAGACATGTAAATTAATAAACAAATAATTGTCCCAGAGTGAAAGCTATCAACTCGCAAGTAGCAGGAACATCAAGAAGGGGGGCAGGGACAGAGGAGCCTAATAAAATCCTCGATGCACATTAATTCGGGTCAGGAACTTTCCACTCTAGTGCGCATGTGAAACAACACTGAATCATCAATATATTAAAAATATTCAATCTCATGCGTGCTACTTTAAGATTCAGTTTAGAAGCATCAGTGTTTGCCCACAGTGGGCTCAAGGAGCCATTTAAATTTTATGTATATTTCTTAATGCTTAACAATAATATATATTTTTTCCATTTCGTAATCTATGTTCTTTATTTTTCAGCTAAACTTGCTTTGGGAGGACCATTATATAAACTACTGGGTCACCAGTAATGGATGTTTAACCCTCTTTATTATTATTCTCTCCACTCTCCACGCAAGAAGTACTCCTGACAAGATAACTGCTGTAATCTCTTCATAATAGCAAGTATATACACCATGTGATAATTAATAAAGTGTCTTCCTAAAAGTGGTTTGGCTATTATCAAATTCTATCAAACCTTTTTCTTTCTCTTCGCCTTCAAAGAAAGGTCCGGCTTTTCTGAGGTATTCATTAAGATCCCCTAAATCCATGAATTCAAATATCATTCCATAAGGTTCTTCATCTGTAGAGACTGCTAATAATTCAACGATATTTTCATGATGTAGGACAGACATCAAAGCAACTTCCTGGAAAAAATCTTCCTTAGTTTCCGTAGAGCTTCCTTCTTTCAGAGTTTTTACAGCAACCATCAACTCTACATCGGCTTTTCCCTCAATCAAACCGTACGTCTTCCCTAAAAACAATGAAGTTATCAATACTTTAAAACTGCATGCACATGGGAGTGTCAATAAGTGAAACCTTGACATTTGTGATTGTTTCTGAAAACAAATTACTTACTGCGAGTGATTATATGAAAGATCGAATATTTGAACTGCGGAGAAAGATATGAAGACATGATTGATCATCACATTTATACGCACAACTCAAGTAGGTGTGAAATTAAAGCCTGAACAAATTTCAGGCTTGAACGGGCTTCGAACCCATTACCTCTGTCAAGCCAGGTGGGAGCTGGTCACAACTCCCAGCTGGTCACAACTTGGTACGTCTGTGTATAACTGCGATGATCAATCATGTCTTCAAATAATTTACTGTTGTGAGTAACATACGTACCCAAAAATACTAAACCAAAGTTCCCGGATCCAAGGTCTCGTACATACTCTATACTGGTCAGCGGAAGCTGCTTTATGTCATCAGGATTAAACAGACTCAGGACTTTGTTCTCGTCGAGGGCTCTAATTCTGTCTCTCATGGTCATAGCTGTAAATGTCACGCTTTTGATGTCTTTCGACAGTTTCAGTGGTTTTCTTTTTCGTCTCTGCAAGATACAAGCGATAATGACGATAATGACAAGAAGAGTAACGGCACCAGCTATCGCAGCAGCTATGGCAGTCGTGTTGAACTTCAGTGAGGATCCCGTCCTTTGCTCCATGCTTGGCTCAGCGGTGGTGAAGTCTGAATAATAAAACACAGGTTGTGTAAAGGCCATGGTTTAATGCAAAACAACGATGGTTAAGTTTACAAGTAGACCTTCCAAAATGATACTGCGAGCACTATACAGCAATCTCTTGTCACGACTCGTTGGCAAACTACTTTTAACTACTCAGTCATTCTTGACTTACATTCGAAGTTTTTTTCTTTTATGTCATTTTAATATTTTACCCTAATATTTAAAAAAGAAAACGGCGTTTCGTTACTGCCATGCAACCACATAGTAGCAGATGTAATATGCCGCACTTGTACAGAATATTTTATAAGTTTGTGTGAAAGTGGTAGAAATAACTTACAGCATTTTCATATAGCACAAAGTTTCGCTTTTCTGTGGTTTGTTCCAATTTACTTTTGAGTTTCTTCCTCGGCTTTTTTCTTTCCACTTCAAAATCGAACCTGTTTGCAAAAACCTGACGTTTGACGTCATCATATAGGTGACGTCAGAACGTCGCGTAAAAATGCTCATTAAGAGTAGATGTATCAATTGACTTATTTACTTACTTAAGAGTCCAAAAGGAATGCAGGTGGGATTGCCAGGTCTGGAGTCAGCAGAATAAGGGAGTTGGGTACAGTTGGGCATTGAAGCATGAGCAAGGTCCTTTCCTGGTTCTTTATGAAAATACTTTGCCGCTCCCAGGATTTCTCGCATGGCCAAGTCGCACACATCAAACAGAGCTTCGCAGTCTTCTCTGCAGTAGCTGTAAGGCTCGTTGTTTTCGTTACACGGTGGCAAGAAGTACTCGCAGACAAGGGGCCTTAAAATATTTTTACATTTCTCTTGACCGTCTATTCGATTAATGACATACATGAAGGCGGCTATCATTGCTTCCGTTCCATTCACACCGAACCTGTTGTCTGTATATCGTGGTGTCCAGCGGTGTTCCAACATAGTGACGTTTAACCAATTGTCACACAACGGCCGGTCACGATACACCTGGCACGTGCCCTTGGGACTGGAAATGAATTTTAAAAAAGGCCAAAGTTTAAACGAATGACAAAAGCAAACAGTGCATCATCTCCAAGAAGTAACTGTAGCCGGGACTAAGCTGTACTAAATAACCCTAAATTTTTGTTCTTAAGTCTTACAACTTTCCGTGTTTTCTATGATGAACACAAATATTTCAAACTTTGAAATTCGGAGCAAATTTTTTTTGATGTTGCCTTTCACGTGAAAAAAATACTTAAACTTACCCTGCTGTGGTCGAAAGAGATTCCCTGGTACTTGGGTTCTTTGTCGTTGTCATGGGAACACTTGTTGTGTGTGTTGAGTTGTTGGAGGTCTGATTATTTGCTATTCCATAACATTGTGTTGCATTTTCAGAAGCCAGTGATGAATTCCAACAGCAACCCCAACTCAGACATTGATCCCTTGAAGAGTTAGAGGGGCCACAGGCAACCAACATCAAGTCAGCATTGGAACAGTTGTATCTCATCCCTTTCAACAAAAAATACACCATATAAACAATTTCAAATGTAGAGGGCCAGGCGATGCATGGAAAACGAAGAAAACTGTTTATATCTCGGATCTTCCTTGGTCAGGAGGGGAACTCACTTAAAGTGAAAACGCCAATGACGAACTTGAGGTGGCCTCATATCTTAAAATGTTGGCCTTAGAGATGTTAGTAATTTGGTGAAGTTTTATACTTTTAGTAATTCGGCCAGCAGCTGACCTATATGACGTCACTTTTGATATTTTATCTGTTCTAAAGATTCATTCTTTGAATATATCTCTGAAAATGATCTTTTTACGCGCCCCGGGCATGAGACAAATGTTTTCATCCGATGAATTTCTTTATCCTAACAGCCCGTTTCTAGTCAATTAATTACTATTTTAAGGTTGAAGAAATTTATTTCTGAACACTATTTGGCTCCATTGCCGGTTCTTGACTCGTTCTTTGCAATAATGCTTACAAATCACGTGTTCAAGGGCACGTGATTTAAAAAATAACTTCCTGTTTCTGAGGTCTTGCTTCACGCGGTACAATAGACGTTTGCACGGCTTCCAGTAATGTTTTAAGTACAAAGTTCAGTTTAACCTCTCGTTTAGATTCAACTAGCAGTTCTCTACAGAAAGATCGAAGGGAACACTTAGCGAAGGTAAGATCAGAGAAAAAGGTATGATGAAACTCTTTCTTGATTTGCATGCTTTATTGCACCATTCTATGTATTTATTCTGAATCCGTCTTGCGATGTTAAATTTCCTATTTACGCTTTTCTTACGCTCCGTGCAGGGTAATGCTTTCAGTGTTTATAGACCCTTAATAGGATTTCAAAAAAAATAAACATTGAAATCTCTGCATGAAAACATTGGTTTTAAAGGAATTCATCGAAAAACTCATCAGCGAAACTCAACACCAGCCCTCTCTCCCGTTACGCGTTTTCTCTCGCCGTTTTTCGGGCTGCTCCTGAGCAAACAGAACGCCTGGAGTAGGCTAACAAAGATAAGATGATAAATCATAAGAGAAATCTAGAGGAAATTAATTATTAAGACCAAAAAAGTCCAATTAGTTGAGAAGGATAGAATATGGACTGGAGAGGACCAATCGACCCTTGACCTTTTTGGACTGTGTTTAATCTAATGGTAACACTTGGGGAGGGGTGTTGGCGAGTCTTTCTTAGAATAAAAAGGTTGAGAATCATGATTGATTTTTCTCTACATGGTCCATGCCAATATGGCCGCAACAACTCTTCTCGCGTGAAGCTGAGTTATTTTAGTCCAATCATAATACTTGGGAAGCGNGGGGGGGGGGAGGTTAAGGAGATTTTGACATCCACACTCGTGGGTAAGGTGCGTGCGAGATACATAGACGAATCAAGCTAAGGCTGCCATTACCATTACCAAATTCTTGTATCGTGTATGGATCTGTATCATTTTACAGCTATTTACCAAGTCTCTGTATAATTAATATTATCAAAAAGTGCCGATCATTGGATAATGCAATTCAAGAGCGTTAGCATCGATGTATCGAAAATTAGTTCGAAAAATCGGTAGTTTAAAAAGTCGGCTGTAAAAGTACAATGTTGGACTGAGGCGAGGGAAAGGACCTTGGATGTTATCGGGAGGTTCGAGAAATCGAGACTGCATTAGTAGATCGAATTATAATTAGAGAACGTTCGTTATCCGATGACATTTGTCAATCAAGATCCTATTTTAATTACTTCCAACAGCCTCCGGAGACGGATTGTCTGATTACAATCAAGTGTTATGTTAGCAGTCAAAGCAAACTTCAAGTTCCTTTACTTCTTTAAGACTAGCAGTCAAAGAAATCTAACCGACATTCGTTTAAAATTACAATATGGGAGAAAAACAGAGAAGAAAGTCAGAACAGACATTTTCTCCATATACATTCTGTGTCCTCATTTAATAGAAGTTTTAGGGAGGCAAAGATCGGTCAGTTGGTCTTCATTCGACCTTGAGCCGGCCATTCATTCCCTTTAGATTACGTTATCGTAGCGACATCAGGTTCTTACACACAGTAGTTTTACTTCACGACTAGTAACAAAAAAGCCTTGAACTAAATTGTAGCTAATTGTATCATAGCGGATAAACAAAGGATCCATTACACTAGCAACTGATTGCATTCACATGGAAGAACAAAGCCATACCCTGAGCTAAAGATAGAGTGGCATTCAGACATAATGTTCTTCTTTACACGCCAAGTCTCCCAAAACAAAGTTGACGCTTCATTGAACTGAAATTTGTTTACCGGCTTACGAAGAAGGCAAACAAAACGAAGTCGGCATGCGCAAACAAAGTTAGTTATGTTATACGTGAAAATATGTAAACAGCGGAAATCATTCAGACCTATGACCTTGAAAAAGCTCGTTAGACGCTAGACCACAGTAGCTGACAGTCAAACGGCGATTGGGTCCCTGAAAACTCGACCTTATCACACAGCAGGTAATACACACAAGTGAGAAGAAGACCGAAATTTAAAAGAGAACAGCGAATGTAATCCTGTTTTACTGCACCATTAGCGGCTTTTGTTTATTTAAGGCTTGTGTCTAATAAGAGATAAAGCTGGACTAGGACCGATTAGAGTGTTCAATAACAGAGAACACAGGAAGACACTTGAAAGGACTTCACAACATGGATTACGCTCGGTGCAGAGATTTCACAATTAGTACGTCTGTAAGGCTGTGAGTGCAATGCGCTTCTGAGGATAATAATCAAAACAAGTTGTTTGCGATTCTTCGGTCCCAACCCAGATCCCTATGCACACTAGTGGCTGACGCCCATTTTCAGCGAATAACCACCAGTAGGCTTAATTTAAATGTACTCTAGTTGTTTCGCCCATATCCACATTGTGTAGCGACAATTTGTTAAAATTTGTACCCCTCCTTGCAAAGAGACTGCCGACCCCACCCATTCCCCAGGAGCATTGAGAGTCGACAAATGGTCCAAAAAAAGTCTTCCAAAAGAGTCCAACAGCCCGTGGGGTCCATTGGTCCAGTCCACATTTTGTCCTATCCGAAATTTATGCGATGACATGAAACCAGGTGTGTCGTCAATAACCAAGGAGATGCGTCTCAACGTGTGCTAACATCATAGCGTTCTAAGACCTCTTAGAATATTACAACACATAGTAACATAGCACGCAAGCCATTTTTCCTGTTTTAAAAGGCAAATTGTTTTTTTTCGACCTTGTAATAACTGCAGATAAAAACATGGTTAGAAAGAAAATAAAAAATCTGCTTTTGTTAACGGTCAACACCGGGGTTTAATGATGCTATTGACAAAAGTTTGCAGTCAAAACTTGTTTTCAATTAACTCTCTCAACTACTTAACTTTGAAGCGACTATAACAAGGGATTTTAAGCGTTTACAAGGACGGTTAAGTAGACGCGATCAAGGTATATTTTGGATATTTGAAAAACAAAATGACAAAATAAGGCAGATAGAGATTTAATCCTGACCGCAAGCTTGACACTGGCTAACCGTCATACTGTTTTATACATTTTATTTAAGAGCCTATGAAGAGTTTTTCATTGTCGAATTCTTAAAAATCGGATTCATAGCTCTTACCCAATTTGTCTAAAGATCATTTTAAACAAAATCCACTTCATGACGAATTAACAAAGATTCGTGCAATTTTCAAACAGCTCGAACCAACTCAGTAAAAAAAATTGATAAATATCGTGATAGTAGCCTAAAGAGCCCGAATATCTCCGTAACACCCAAGCGGGGCCGAAATATCTCCGTATATGCCCAAGCAGTGAAAATTTACCCACCTGATGTAGAACTGTAGGATAAGGTGCAGCTAAACAAGAACGCGATAATATATTTGAGGTCCATTACGGGAGAAAAGAAAACTACCGACACTCAGCTGGCAGTGATTTGTCCGATAGATAGATGGATAGCCTGCTGCACACAGACACGAAATAGGAGATGAGGGGACGCGTGCCTTGTTTCCGAAAATAAGAGCTTTAGGATATGTTAGATCGTATTTCGAGATGCTAATGATAAACAGCTAAATCTTTCATTCTGAGGAAATCTTTTCCACACACGAACTGATGACAGACAAGGCAGTTACCTGCTTGTTACCGTTCGTTGTTTTGGATATTCAGGTGCAAGTTGCATACTTCTACTATTTTTCCTCTTGGTTTGTGAGACACTGGTTGTGTTTTGTGTTCAAAACATTAGAATTAAAGTACTCAGTGTATGAAGTGATTATTTCATTCCTTTACTATTAGAAACTGTAAATCTTCGTCGCCTCCTATGAAATAAGACTTCCCACTCTCTTCAACCCCCCCCCGCCTCTTTTTGGAATAGGAATTTCATAATTCTGCCCCCTCTTATCACCGGCTGCCCCTCAAACGTGCTTGAATCAAGTAAGTGTCCCAGAGGAGGTTTCATAGAGGATTTACGGTACGTTCAAAGTTACATCCTCGTGTCAAGACTGGCACGTGTTTGCAACGACACACGACTGAGTAAACACCACGTCAACACGACATAAATATACGACGCACCCCGACATACACAGCCATAAGGTCAAGTGCAGTATGTTAACCTGGCGCACTCTGGGGGGACTCCCTGTGGGGGTCTTAAAAACATCGCCCGATCGATCGTACCCTTTGCACAAAGAATTTCGAAGTTTTCTGATTAGAAAATGTTCAGGTGTCATGTTGTTAGTTCCCAAACACTGTCTGTAACAGTGATTACGTCGAAAATACGAGTAACAAACACGGCCGAGCGTCAGGTTAGTGGCGACTAAACTGTTACAGGAGCTAAGGATGGCCTTTGGTTTTTCCGGCGCGCCACAAGGAGTGAGGTTACATTCAGTTGCAGCACAATCGACTTTGTTATGCTTTACTGCTTGAAACAATGCAACTTCCTCTTTGAACGCTTCTTAAACTGTTAACAAGTCCTGGAATTGATGATGCTGTAGGCCATACCAGTAGAACAATTCCTTTCAGTTCCGTGAATAGTCCTGTTAAACCAAGGTGTCCAGCAGAAGGGGCCTGGTACCAGTTAACTAGGCATTATAAATGAGGCCCTGTTAAGATTTTAGGATTATGGAATATTAGTGGTTCTTAGATGAGCGATAACTGGATTATTGGCCACTAAATTAAAGGATTACATATTATTTGCGTCTCATTTTAATGTTATGGATTATTATCGGTCATGATCGCATAAGTTGCTTTTTACATAAAAGAGTATGAAAGGTCTTAAAAGAGAGTCACAAAAAATATGACAAATATTATTTATCTCCAATGATCCCTCCAGTGCTCCTAGCTTAGTCAAAATTCTGAGCTAGCATCGTGGTAGTAATCCTTAGTCGCTAAGGACTTACGGGTATTATTTCATATTCAAAAAATTAAAAGATGAAAAAGGCCTATACGACCCGTGCTGTTCGCAGATGTAGTTTTTTTTTTTGCCTTTAGAGTTAAGTTTACTATATATATCTTCTTGATTTTTTTAAAGTACAATTTTATGAATAGCTGTATTTTATATGTAAATGCTGATCGCCAGTTAATACCAGTGATCCAGTGATCACTGATTGGCCTTTCAGGTTAAATAAAGTCTTTTATTTATTTTTTTATTTATTTATTTAAGTTTGGATCTCGCTAGTGTGGCTTTGAACGATTTTCCTCTTTTGCACGAGAAAATGGGAAATAATGGGGGGCTCTCTTTATATACCTTCCTCAGCAAAGGCAGAATCTGTATTAAGTGACATTTATTCATCAAGGCTTTCTTTATATTAGGCACTGCTGGGTGCTGCGACAAAAGGTGGAATTTTATTTTAAGTTTTTCCCTTCTAAGTTGTTTGTTCTCAATTCTTAATAACTAAGATCCAAACGATCTTATTTACTTTGATGATCACCGATAAAGTTTATGAATAGGTAATAAAATGCTTAAATACAAGCCGTTGCAATGAATAGATCATTCTGAGAGCAATCGTACACGGACACGCTCGATTGTAGTACTTTTTGTGCGATATTAAAGATTACTTAAAGCTAACCTGGACTGATTTCTTGGATGAAGTCAGTCCTAAACTCTGCCGGTTTGGTGACATCTAGCGGGAATGTTTCCAGACATCCCCGAATCCCATTCCACATCAAGCACAAAGCACGAAATAAAAAGAACGCTACATGCAGAATAAATAATAAACATTGAACGCTTAGATGAATTTTTTTACTTTTACGGCTGTAGCTTTGACTTACATCAAGAGAATATGATCTGCTGACATTTACACAAGATGAGCAATTTTCTTTAGAAGGGGAGTACATGGGATTAATTTCGTGAGCTTTTTCTTCAACATCAAATCTGACTTGCGTGCCAAGTTAACACGCTGGTTAACATTGAGCCGTGATTTTACGTCAATTAAATTTTCTTATGTCTATGCTTCTGCTTATGCTTGTGTCGCAAGTGAGGACCGGGCTTTACCCATGAAACGAAAATTTGAGTTTTCCATACCATTAAGCAAAATAAAGATGGGTAAGAGAAATATACGTGAATTTATATTCCTTCCTGATTCAGTTTCCACGAATGACCCTTGCAGTAGACTCTCAAGGAGCATTCCTGTTTCATGAGTCAAATGAGTCAATGAGTCACGAGTAATGAGTCAATGGGCCATGAGTCAAGTTATAGGTCAGGTCAGCGGTTTTGTTTGGAGCATTTCCAAGAAGGCGGGTGGTCGGACGGACCGACAACCAAGAGCCAAAATAACTCTCGAACACTCTTATTCCAACATACAGCTCTAACACTAGCTTACAACTCGAATACAACTTGAATAGAACTGACACATTTCACAGAGTTCGCTCGATCAAACGAGTCGATGAATAATTATGCTAAATACAGAATTCTCACGAAATGTCTCACAAAATTGTTAGTCTTCCGGAACGTAAACAATGTCTTCCGAACAGCGGGAAAGCGTGCAGCTCCAGAATCGGTGAGTGCAATCTTGAAACAAATGGTTGACAGGCCAAACACGACTCCTATTGGTCAAGAAAGAGCTAGCAAATGGCGTAATGTACTTTAGGATCCTTATTTGTTTGAAGCTCAACCTGGTTATTTTGTGTTTCTTTGACCTTACTTTACTTTACTTCATTGAATTTGTTGCATGTACAATAAAAAAAAGAAAGAAAGAAAAGAAAATAGCATCAGCAACTGGAGCAGAAAACAGGACGATGTCCCAATTGATATTCAACCCCAATAAATATTAACAAAATAGTAACAATAATTATAATCATAGAGGTAGTAGTAAAAGTAGTAATAATTATCATATGATGTTGTTTACAATCAAGTTAATTTAAAATGACTTCATTAACTTACACCCTCACTACTTGGAAGATTACAAGGAAGGGTGTTATCATCATAAAAATCTAAAAGCCTCCTTTTAAAAGTATGAAATGAGTCCACGCTTGACGGCAGTTTTTCTGGATTTCTAGGCACTCGATGGCTAATCTGCAGTGTGGAGCTATTTTCATGTAAACCATACGCACTCAGAACATGTGCGGCACATGTTCTGAGTGCGTATATTTTTGCTTTATGGACCTTTATGTTCCTTGACGTTAGTTAAGTGCTGGTAAAATGGGGTTGACAAGCCTACACGACTCCTACGGTTCGTGACATCTGTACGTTTGCCGTTCTCTGTTCGGTCTCTCGACCTTTTTGTGCTTCACTGTACTCCCGTTTATGAAGGGCACTAAATGCTGTTTTACAAGGAGAAATTTTGAGTAGCATTGAGCCGTTAGACTGCTGTAGTACTTGTGCAGATTTTCTACGTGCTGTTAAGTTAGATTACTAGTTCGGTGCAGGAGGGAGCACTGTCTGATATCAGTCACAGGAGTTAAAAAGTTGTGACAAGCCTGCACGACTCCCGCTGTACGCAAATGTGTATTCTTTGCCTTTAGAGTTCGCCATGTACTTATTCTTAAGTTTGTTGTACTCCTCCTAATCTGCATTGCTAAACAGATTTCTGTTGTTGATATTTGGTTTCACATTCTTTACATGCGGAAAACTTTACTGTTTTGCAAACTTGCGTTTACGTTTACAAATGCCTGGTATGTTATGAAGAAAGCATATCTTAAATGCTGGTAAACATTTGCATAACGTCCAATGAATAAATAAACATTTTTATCAAGGTTGAAGCTGTGTAATGTCACTTTGTGTTGCTTTCTTGGTTATCTGACAACGTTCACGAAATCGGATATGATGGATCATTGATGGCGTCACACCATGGAGTAGGCCCAGGGGAGTGGCTTTTGGCCCAAAAAAGTGCAAATAGAGTACAAAAAATAAAATAAATAAACTACAGTAAATGTGTGGCATTTTTGGTGTTTTTTACGATACATGTCCCGGGGAAGTGGCTTTTGAAAAGCAACCGTTACAAAAATTATTTTTGTCTTGACGTTAAGTTCTATTGCATTTGCTGCTATATTGGATATTTACCTTATGACCCGTGCCATGTATTTGGCAATTTGCTCGAGCGACTGTAGTAAATCCTTATCGGCTGCACGTAACATGTCGTTCATTGGTGCCGGCTTAGGTTCTAAAGGTTCTACACTAGATTTAAAGCTGGCAAACCATACATTTTCTACCATATCAGGTGATATTCCGGTCAGTAGGTCTCTTGTACGAGATCAGTTGTGATCAAGCGATGGCAGTCTCCGGTCTTTTCCGACCCATTTCAGAAAGAAAATTCCAAGGCCTTTCGCTGTAACTAGCGTCCTTTGAGTAATTTCAACCTCTGAACTTGTTCGTCTATTAAAATGAATTCGAGACACAAAAATCGTTGCGTAGCGAACCACCGAATTCACAGTCAGTACTTACTCCGATTTTTGCGGCGTCCACCATTTTGAATTTTGAAAACCGCCGACCAAACTCATAACTTGACTCACGGCTCATTGACTCATGTTTACGAATACTGGCGCCTTCTCTCTCGAATATTGCGTGCTGTTTGCGTGATGGAATGTGACTTGTTAAGTGACAATCTGTCTGGTCCAATATTCTTGAAGTGAAACCAAGCTAACTTTTAGCCTAAGTTGGAAACCAGGTCATTCCGCCTGCATCATGATCATCGAAGCCATTGCCTTGTTATTCTTTCTTATGGCTGCGTATGTCGTGCGCACTCTTTGGGAGAATAGAAATCTTCCTCCAGGTCCATTTCCATTACCTGTACTTGGAAATCTGCTATCAGTTGGACTCAAACAGCCTTATCGTGATCTTGCAAACATGACAAAAAAGTACGGCAAGTTATTTCGGATCCAAATGGGAAGCAGAAAAGTGATTGTTATTAACAGCTATGACATCGCGAGAGAGGCACTTGTGGCAAAGGCAGAGGATTTTGCTGGTCGACCTCATCATTTCTTCGGGAGTATCTTTGGACGAAACTCTACTGACCTCGCTTTTCAAACATTCTCTCAGAGATGGATAACACAGCACAAAATAGCTTTAACAGCTTTGCGCTTAGCTGAAGACAAGGCAAATGTTGCTTCACATGTGAACGAGTTGTGTGATAAATTTCATTCTACCAAAGGAAAACCATTTGGCCCGCAGGATCTCGTTTTCAAATCTTTAGGTAATTGCCTGTCGTCACTTATTTTCGGGAAAGAAAACAAGCTACATGACCACGAGGTAGACGCGCTCATAGAAGTTCTTCATGTCTTCGCGAAATCCCTCGGCGCAGCTAATCTCATCGACACCTTCCCAATTTTCAAGAACATTCCTTTTGAGATTATAAAGAAAGCAACTCGAGCGGGAGAAATTCGGGACGAAATATTCGAAAGAAAATTCAAAGAACATGCGTCGACATTTCAGAGTGATAACATCCGGGATCTACTTGATGCCATGTTGAAGGGTTTCCGTCAAAAAAATTGTGGTTTACTTCAAGAGGAACATTTAATATCAAGGTGAGAGAGCCCCTTTTACTTTAGAACCCAAACCTTGATTTTGGAGGTTTTGAACTGTTGCCGGACATTTGACTTCGAACTAAGAATTTTGGTTCATTTCTTTCTGCATTCTTTCTGTCATACCAGAATGTTTGAATTTGCTGTTATCGTTACCCAGACACAATATGTTAGTTCGTGTTAAAACGCGTGCTGCAAGAGCTGTACCACTTCAAATTTTTTGACGTTAGCGCGGTCATGACGTGTCAACTGGCCGTCTCCTTGTTGAGGCCAATTGAGTGCGTATGTCAGTTGCATCACGCAAGCTTTTCCTGCGCACATCAGACTGAGACAGTAAACTACGCATACAAAGTTTATTCAACAGAGAATGTCCGCGTAGAAAATGGGTTGTTTTCTGTTTAGATCGGAGAACGTTTTGATAAGAGACCCGGCATAGAAATACATTCTGTATAATAAGTAAAAGTTTACTTGTATAAACAAAACAAACACAGACAAAACATATCTTGACATTAACAGTAAAGGAGACGAAACCTGTCGCAAGACTATGACAATGATAATAAATTGATATTCATGATAATGATCAAGAATATGACAAAATTTGTGAATTTATTGTTTCCATTCAATTGTAGCGCCTCTGATGTGTTTATGCCCGGCACTGAAACTCCGTCCGTTGTGATCATCTGGTTGATATTTTACGCCATCAAATACCCGGATGTACAGGCCAGGCTCCACAGTCAGCTAGATGATGTCATCGGCAACACAAGCCGACTGCCACAGTTACCTGACAAACCCAACTTACCATATTTGGATGCATTCATTGCTGAGGTTCAGAGAATTGTAAGTGACACTCCATTAGCAGTTCCTCACTCAACCACGCGGGAAACATCCCTTGCTGGTTTCCTAATCCCGCGGGATACGACTGTCTTCATTAATCTCTGGGCCATTCATCACGATTCTGATCGTTGGGAAGATCCATTTTGCTTTCGACCAGAGCGGTTCTTGGATGAACAAGGTCGACTGCATTTGGAGGGTATCATGCCATTCTCATTGGGAAAGCGCTCGTGTCCGGGAGAGTCTTTTGCCAGGAAAACAGTTTTCTTGTACGCTGCTCGATTGCTGTACAGATTTCAATTTGAGAGTCCACCTGGTGCGACACTGCCTGACGAGGATGACAGTGATTACAGTATCGTGCTTTCCTGTAAGCCCTTTAAGATTTGTGCCACAGACAGACGAAATAAGAATTTATTAAACACGAAATAGAGGTATAAGGGGACTGGACGTGCATGAACTCTGTGTGAATGAAGCGTTCTAACTGTAGTCATTTAACGAGACAAAATTTAACATGTCAAATTAGGAGAGAAAGCCCTCAATAGTTCGTAGAAACAGTCACGAAAATACTGTAGTATTTCCACATTAAAAGTTAATCGAGCCAAATTTCAAGCCATTACGGTGGTATGATAGAAAATCCACAAGGCTTGAAAGTGTCTATACGTCCAACAGGGTTTTTGTGCTTTTGGTATCTCATAACATGTAAATCAAAGGCTCCCTGATCCAGCTCATGGATGAATAGTTGACTTTTGCCTCTGTGGCAAAACAAGTCTTTGTGCAAAACTATTTGTATGAAATGCATGTCACCTGTACATTCATTCTCTTGAAAATCAAGTCATTTTCAGGTGAAATGTTTTGCACAAGCATTCGTTCTAAAAAAGGGGCAAACAACCACTCCGAAGTGGAAGTAAAGTCTGCATATGAGCCAAGTGGCCCATCAGGTTGGCACTTATCCCAGTTTCTGTGGCATGAAGCAACTTGGAGTATTTCTACTTAACCCCCAGATGGGATGCTAGTACTTATTTATACACCTGAGTGGAAAGAGGCACTGTGAGAGTTAAGGGTTTTGCTCAAGAACACAACACAATGTTCCCAGCCAGGGCTCAAATCAAAAAACAGGTTGTTTACACAGACAGTTTATAAATTTCAAAATAGATAACAATTAATTTTGATTGAAATTGGAACATTGTTATCATATTAACTTGTACATGATGTAGTGTCCAAGAATAACAACAGATGTGTCAAAATGAAATCATTAAGTGAGAGTTCAACATATTTACCAGTCAGTCCAAAATTGACAATATAATTATGTATGTGAGGCAGCAGTGCATTTTGGGTCAAGGTAAATTGGTTATGGTCCTTGTTCAGTTAACATTATGAAACAGCTGCATAACAATGATTACTATTATGCAAAAATTACAATACATGGTTATGAAATTTATTTTAGACAATCAACTTAACAATGCCAGGACTGCCAAGAGTATTTTGCCCAATTTACTTAAGTGAGACATGGATATTGGCAAAATCTTGTTTACTTTGAGCTAAGTCAAGAAATCTATAGAAAAAATACGTATTTCCTTCAATATTATAAGACTGATTTCAGACAGTTTTGTTTCAATCATGAACCTGAAGTGTTGGGAATGTTTTTATTTCCAATTTATAAGGTTTTTTTCTATAGAACTATGTCCATGAAAAGGAGGAAGGAAAGTAACAAAGTTTTACACAAGGAGGCTCTGGCCCAAGGTCAGAAACCTACCCATTTTACAGTGTTTTTAACAGGATAGGCTTTCCTTTCATATACGTGTAGCTTTTAGCCTGAAACCCCTTTCACAAACCTTATGTGGCCCACTAGATCTTATTTCTGAGATAAATAATCAAAATTATTAATGTTTGAAATCCCTGTCCTGTTAAGTCTTATAACACCTCCAGCCTGAAAAAAAGTGCACCTTTAGTCAACTGTAGGAAGAAGTCCCCCAGCTTGGTGCAATACAATAATAAGAATACTACATATTGTAGTGCATGCAAGTAAAATAACAATAATTTTCTTTCTTGGAAACTAAAATCACGGTGTTTTATCCCTATATGTCTTGGTAATTGTTTGTGCTGGTCTCACTACCAATGCAGCAGTATTCAAAAGGATTACAGATATGTCTCTGCTAATAGACTTTTGCAACGATTACAGAACATACTAATGTTGACAAGTATCAAGCATTCTCTTTTCCATAATTCAAGTTTTGATGTCAATTTGTTGAAATCTCTCATTTCTAGGAGCAAAAAAAATCTACATCACCAGCCACCATGCTTCCGGCTTTTCGACACAATTGGACAGTATATCTTTCTCGCAAACAAATAGATCTACACAGTCTCTTAGACTTAATTTGTTCATCCATCACTAAAATATTACAGTGTATATTTACTCAATCGTACATGTAGGTTGCCTTGCATCGCATCCGTGAAGAAATTTTCACTCTGGTCGAACTGCATGGAATACAAAAGAAATGTAGTGTGAGCGACAACAAAACTAAAAGAAAACGCAATTCGAATTTTTTTTTCCCCCTAAATATTTAAAAACAAGCTTACAAATTTCGAGCTTGCGATACTAACACAGGAAGAATTTCAATGGGGGCGTACAAAATAAAACAATAAAGAAACAATGAAACAAAACCTAACAAGAATTTAAGCTTACCTTAGAGTACACAACCAGAGAAAGCGAGTGGAAATCATCAAATTCTCTTGCCAAGGAAAAAAGCTAATCACGATAACACATTCTGGCCTTGTCTTCCCGGGTGTCCTTGTATCAATTCTTTGACCTCGCCGACCGTGCTGTTGTGAACGATACAAGACCACAGTCATAAATACCTCTACCAGCTTTCATCTAGGTGTGAGCAAAAGCTGATAGGTAAAAAAACAACATATTTACGAGAGAAAATCACATCAACCCAAGCTGGCCGACCTCAATCTTCGAGGTGTTCGACAAACTCATACCCAGGCTCTCGATTTATCGGGCAAAAATGTACGCCTCTCTAGTCCCCCCTCGTCAAAGAACCTTCCCCAAGACGACTGAACACTCTTGGACAAAAATAATACTTAGCAGGGGAGGTAGGAGAAAATTGTTTGATCCAGGTTTAATGAATAAATTAATTAGAATCGAGTGAGTGAGTGAGTGAGTGAGTGAGTGAGTGAGCGCCATCCGACTGCCTCCTAAGCTCATGGATGTTACATAACATCCATGAGCAAAAAGTACTCTAACAAAACAAATTGGATTCCGACGCTTTTTCTTTAAAATTTCTCGCCTCGGTTACGCCCAAAAGAGTTAACCGCGTGACGAATGATTGGCGACGAGTGACGTCACTTCAGGAGCGTCTCGAAGCTCCGTGTTTTTATTTTGCTTGCTACTTTATACCGGAATAACTTGAATACTTGTACAGGAATAAAATCGCGAAGAACACGAAATTGGCTCGACTAGCTACAATTCATTCGGGAACTTTAGAAATACCAAGATTTTCAACACTTGATCATCTTTACGTCACGTGTCCACTGACGTACAGACAAACCTACACTCTCGATACACTCATAATTCAAGGAACTCACTACAGTCAAACATTCTCGTGACGACATGACGAGTCAAAATTAAACGTGTGGTCGGGGCCCTTATAATCTGCCTTTTTCCGCCCTGGTATTGCTGGCTCCGCGAGCGGACAAGATCAACTATCTTGCTCTGTGATTCTCTAACCGTTTGGGATTATCCCCTGTATCCAGCAAGAATATGGGGCTCCTTGTGTTAAAAAAATGAATCATTTATTGACTAAACTTGTTCGCTCAAGGTAAGTTCGCTCAGGGTTAAGTCTGCATACTAGAGCTTATTCCGGTTTTTGTAGCATGAAGCAACTAGGAGTATTTCTACTCCCCCCTTGGTGAGATGCTGGTCCATCACAGGGCTACCCCCAGCATTTAGTCCGCTGGTACCCCGGCATTTATACACCTGGGTGTAGAGAGGTACTATGAGAGTAAAGTGTCTTGCCCAAGAACACAACACAATGTCCCCCGGCCAGGGCTCGAACACGGACCGCTCAATTCCGGAGGATGGCTGGATATTGGTCTCGCTCCAGAAACAGCCAAAAAAGGAATTTGAACAATATCAGCTACTATCTACCCATCTTTGACCTCATATTTCCTCAACAAACGAAACTGAAACTGAGCTTCGGATTAGCGAGTTGACAATAAACATGCTAAAGTTCCGCAACGCATGCACATGACTCCGCAATCTATAAAGGCTTCCACTTTCATCCTGAAGTGTAAACAGATGCTCCTTCTCAGGTATCTTGCTTGATAACTTTTAAGCCCAAGTGAATGACTCAGAGTGCTCGAAACAATGATTATTGAAGTCATTGCCTCGTTACTCTTTGTTTTAACTGTGTATGTCGTGAGCACTCTTTGGGAGAATAGAAATCTTCCTCCGGGTCCATTTCCATTACCTGTACTTGGAAATCTGCTATCAGTTGGATTCAAACAGCCTTATCGTGATCTTGCAAACATGACAAAAAAGTACGGCAAGTTATTTCGGATCCAAATGGGAAGCAGAAAAGTGATTGTTATTAACAGCTATGACATCGCGAGAGAGGCACTTGTGGCAAAGGCAGAGGATTTTGCTGGTCGACCTCATCATTTCTTCGGGAGTATCTTTGGACGAAACTCTACTGACCTCGCTTTTCAAACATTCTCTCAGAGATGGATAACACAGCACAAAATAGCTTTAACAGCTTTGCGCTTAGCTGAAGACAAGGCAAATGTTGCTTCACATGTGAACGAGTTGTGTGATAAATTTCATTCTACTAAAGGAAACCCATTTTGCCCGCAGGATCTCGTTTTCAGGTCTTGTGGTAACTGTCAGTCGTCTCTGGTTTTTGGACATGAAAACAAACTCGATGATTGGGAAGTAGACGCGCTCATAAAGGCTGGTCAAATCCTTGCCAAATCCATCGCAGCAGCTAATCTCATCGACACATTCCCAATTTTGAAGTACTTTCCATTTGAGGCAATTAAGAAAGCGAGACGTGCAGGGGAAGTTCGGGATGAAATTTTCAAGAGGAAGTTTGAAGAACACGTGTCGACATTTCAGAGTGATAACATGAGAGATCTAATTGATGCCATGTTGAAGGGTTTCCGAGAAAACAGTGGCGGCTTACTCACAGAGGAACATCTAATATCAAGGTGCGAGAACATGCCTATATCATGTTAGCAAATAATTTGTTATAATTTGTCAGCAGGTCTAATTTGTGGACAACAGTTAAATTGCCCAAGCATCTTTTTAATTAAAAAAAACTGATGCAGTAAGTTGCCTTGGCAGAGTCCTCTCGCCGGTCATAAATCAAGGCTATATTTGTTCGCCTGGAGAACATCATTGCTCGAATTTGTCTTAAAGTCATGAAATCCTCTTATAACATGTCGGCGAAAAGTTGCTCCGTTCCCGAGACTTTCGCATCATCTAGGAACTTTATTTGTTTTTTCAACCTCTATTTCACAGTTACCGCACATTACAAGTTATTACAGCATTGCAAATATTATCCTAATCACTCTTCCCAAAATTACAAGGAATTTGAACTGTTTTGTGATGGTGCGTGCTGTTAGTTTAGATCATCAAATGGACTCTCCACAGATTTTTCCTGTTTGTGGTAATATTTTCACTCCATATGGAATTCAATACTTGTGATCCCCTTTCTGCAAAATGTCAGTCGTTTGGAGGCTTCCGACAGGCAGCTCTGTCTTTTAAGTACAAAGATACGAAACTATGAGATCTCATTTTCTCTTGACAACCTTTCTGACACTAGCTGTTGTTTCTCTACAATTGTAGCGCCTCTGACGTTTTCTTTCCTGGCACTGAAACTCCGTCCGTTGTGATCATCTGGTTGATATTTTACGCCATCAAATACCCGGATGTACAGGCCAGGCTCCACAGTCAGCTAGATGATGTCATCGGCAATACGAACCGACTGCCACAGTTATCTGACAAACGCAACTTACCATATTTGGATGCATTCATTGGTGAAGTCATGCGTGTTGTCAGTGAAACTCCATTGGCGGCTCCTCACTCAACCACGCGAGAAACGTCCCTTGCTGGTTTCCTGATCCCGCGGGATACGACGGTCTTCATCAATCTCTGGGCCATTCATCACGATTCTGATCGTTGGGAAGATCCATTTTGCTTTCGGCCAGAGCGGTTCTTGGACGAACAAGGTCGACTGCGTTTGGAGGGTATTATGCCATTTTCATCGGGAAAGCGCTCGTGTCCGGGAGAGTCTTTTGCCAGGAGAACAGTTTTCTTGTACGCTGCGCGATTGCTGTACGGATTTCAATTTGAGAGTCCACCTGGTGCGATACTGCCTGACGAGGATGACAGTGAGTATGGAATCTTGCTTGAGTGCAAGCCTTTTGAGGTCTGTGCGGTGGCTAGACGAAATGGGAATCAACCAATCCACAAAAAGGAACCTTGAACGGCTGGTGGACGGGCTGAAATTAACTGATGAATTCGTGCCGCCTCTTGTCATTCAAATAGCTCACTCACTAACCCTCTTCGCTCCTGTGAGTGGAGCATTGGGATAGAAATAGCAAGTACCTAATTTAAGTGAAAAAGTTTATTTTTGGAGGCCTTAATTAACCATAGCAGGACGATGTTAAGAGCCGAGGGTTGAATCCATTCTGTACCTGATTCTTTGTCTTTAAATAGATAGAATGAATAAACAAAGTATTATAAATAAAGCTCTTAAAATGAAGTAATTATCTGACGTACATACAAATCGACCTGAAATATTGCAGTTTTTCACGTTAAGAACAAAGTAATTGAATGAAAAAATAACTTATGGATCAGGAAAATCTGTAATTCTGAAGTCTTTCTTTCAACTTACACTAGAATAAGTCACTTGAGATCGTTAATGATGAAATTAATTTCTAATGGGTGCTTACAAAGCAAACAAGTGATTCCATGTGATTTGCAGATTTGTCTCGATGTTGAGGGAAAAAAATCATTCTGAGAACCCGTTCCTTAGCAGGCCCACCGTTGAGTCACACGCGCGAGCGTTGAAGAGCGAAACGATCCGGCGGGAAGGAGGACCTAGGTAGGGCCAAAAAAAAACGGCCAGCCGAGCAATTGGGGTATTGGGCTAATCGGTTTTACCAAGTCCAAGAATCATGTGTTTCCAGAGCCACTTTTTTCTCTTTCTCCACCGAGGCCACAAGGCATCGCCGCCTGCGAGCCGGGTGGCTCTGGGAACAACAGTGGAACCGCGGGCGAGGGTCGCGCACGCACGTATTGCGCGCGCGATTCGTAAGTTACCAAGACAAACAAACAAAAGACTCGATCGGAAAGACGACAACGCTGAGGAGTGACTGGAAGAGAAACAAACCAATTTTCCGTAAGAAATGCAAGCTGTATGATCTAACACCTTTTCTAAGTGCCAATAACAGCGTGATACGTATGTCTCTGGACTTCTACGCGAAGTAAGTTGTTTCACAAGAATGCGATCAACGAATGTAGGGAGGATGAAATTCGTCCATTCAACGGTCGACGAAACGCTCTTTGGAGAGCGTACCAAAGCGCGAGAACCTGTTCGTGTTCCTGCATTTGAACCACCATGGGTTGAAGGTGGAAAGCTTAAAACCAAAACACCATCTAAACCTCTGTTGTTTTACTGCCCGGGTTCATCAACTCCTCCTGCTTCTTCACATTCACAACGAAGCAGTCCTGTGCGAGCTTACAAACCTGTGCAGTTTTCACCAGTATATGTTGACGAGTCGTTGTTTGGAAACAGAAGGACAAAACGCTCAAATTCACCACCGCCAAGTGAATTTAACCCTCCATGGGTTAAGGAAAGCGAGGAGAAACGAGACAGACCGATATTGTTCGATTGTAATTCAAGGCTCATGTTTGACAACTCGTGTGACGCGACTAGCCGCCCTATGTCTTCACGGTCAAGGATTCCACGAAGTTCTCGTTCTTCCTCACGAACGAGTTCAAGAGCTCAAAGTATCGGACATATACCAAAATCAGCTAATAAACCACCTTGGAGATAAATCGAAAGGGTGAAAATTTATCATATTTTATCAATATATTACGCTATTAAATGACATGGTGTATGTATGAACCCTGAACTGTTTTCGATTTGTATTTACTCTCGCAAATTTGCATGCAATAAGCAAAGTGTGAATGTCAAGGGTGCCTGCTGAGCATTGGAAGAAAATCCCAAATGAAATATTCGAATGTAAAATTAAAAAAATAAATCTGGGCTAGCGTTAACCGGAACTGTGTTTTAAGTAGTTTATATTCTACCAGTGCAAATTGACATAATCCCTGCAGGAGTAAATAGGCCAGACTGAACATGGGCAAGAAATCTGCAACATCAGATAAAACCAGTTCAGGGCCAGTCAGGTAGTATTAAAATGCAATAAATAAAAGTAGAACAGGTAAATAAAAATTGTCTGAAACTTAAAGCCTTTCTTGAGAGGGCAAAGGTAAATCTGTTCACTTGCAAAGTGGAACAAGCAGAAATTGTGCAAATAAGTTAAATGAAATTCTACCAACCAATCACAACACATAACCAATGGGTAATAAATATCTTGATGAAAGATAAACTAATTGATTAAAAAAATCAATCAATCAACTAATGGCCTGTAAATAGTACACTGTAAACAATAATGATGAAATACAGTCCTGTTTGAGCAAATTCAACTTGATGTATTACAATGGTAAATTCTCAGCTACATGTCTAGCCATAAATTTAAGGTAAATTTAAGCAGGACTTCTACGGGTGATAAGTACCAATAAACTTAGACTTTGGGATTGTCAGTTTTGTGACTATTTGTAGCTGGCATGACCCTCCAGTAAGGCTGATTTACACATGTAGCACTCCCATTAGACTGATTAGTACACCAGTTAGGCTGAGAATCATTAGTTTTTATTTCCAGGTAGTGGTAACACCACATTAGTCCATATTTACAAGCTAACAAATAAACTTGAAATCCATTTTTGAATTTTCTTTTGTGGAATTTCAAACCCAGTCATTTATCTGTTGATGGGACATATTAAACTGGAAGATAACTACATTGGGAGGTTGTGCTCAACCTAGACTACTGAGGAAACTAACAGTGATCTAACATGGCACATGCTTTTTTTAGCTATTTCTAACCTTTCTTGTGGGATTTAAAGGAACATATAAACCAAACTGGAATTTTCACGGGGATGGGGGAGAAGAGCAGTTTGACCAGAAAAACCAAAATGGGAGGGGTATGGATCTTTTCTGGAACAATACATTTTGAGGCATGTTTCAATTTTTGAATACTTTTTTGGGGCATGCACACAAAGCAAAATTAGAATTTGTTTGAATAGGAGACAGGCCTTATAAGTGGTTTTTGCTTTTTATCGAGTTTTTTTTTCTCTCTGTTGTTGTTTTGTTGGCCTGTCAGATGCCTTTCCTCAGACAAGTTTCGCTAAGATGTCATGGCAAGTGAACATTTTCTGGAAGGTTTACTTTTTCTCTGATTTTGAGCTGGCAAATTTATCGGTGTACTGTGTGTATCTGTGGGCTAATGCATGCTCATTCAGAAATGATTCATACATGTTTTCTACATTTATAACCTAATTATGAGAGACAATGTTTGGCATAAGAATGATGACAACAAGGGGTATGAGGACCAAGTTTTTGGGTTTGTGATTATTTTCGCAAATGGGTCAGTGGGATAAAAGGTCATAAACATATTGTGTTGCATTTCATTGTGTACAATGTAGATTCTCGCACACCGAGTCACCAGTGCATCTCCAATGTAAATGCGATTTCAGCTGAGTTTCCTAAGAAGATGGACCAAAATATCTATCTTTTGAAGCTATTTGTAAACTCTAAATTGACACTTTTACCAGAAGATAAAACTCTGACTAAATTTCATGAACACTGTACACTCTCTTACTACACTGGCCTCAATATTAAGTTTCAACTTAGACCTGTTATGAAAGGGTAACAGCTCAATGCTGATCTTTAATTAATACAAAAAAAAGTACTACTCTAGATACTGATACAGTATAAACAAAAAAAAAAATGTACAGAATTGTGTTACACTCCCAATATATCAAGAATGAACTGGTCTTGCTCAGCAGATAATTTAACAAAATTTTCCAGTTTTGTTTCCATTAAATTACTTGTGGTGCAAGGTTTTACTAAGCTTCGTGGATTCTCCAGTAAACAGTCTGGTAACAACTGTTCAAGTTTATCTGCCAGGTCAAGCGAATCAACCTCGTGTAACAAATCTGTGTTTTTTCTTTGCAATGAACAGACACTGGAAGACATTGTCAAGTCATTACAATTACGACTCGGACCCCTGCACAAATGATCTGTTTGCCCACCAGCATTTGCATTTTTATCCTCAGGTTCATGAAGGTCGTCTGCATGATCACTAACTGATGTGCCAAGGATGGATTGGCCAGAGGGTAAGCTACCACATGAACTAACAGATGCCGGACTTGAATAACCACTATCACTTTGCAAATCATCAACAGCTATCTTCTTACTCTGTTCCTTGATGTCCTGCCATGTCAGGAATGACTGTGAAAACTTAGGACTTGGAAGAGGAGACATACCTATGTCAGAATTATTACAAAGAGGTGAGTTGGGACAGCTTTGACCGACAAGTCTCTTTTTCCTTGGAACGTATGGTTCAAATTGCCCAGCTCTTGTCTTCTGAGGTAAAACAAGTGAGGATGTTCTGCCTCTTAAAGGTGAGAACACTGGGGATTTGAAGGGTGGTGAAAGAAGTCCATGACTCGTGACATCCTTACATGACGAAACAGCTGTGTTACAGTCAATATTTAACGGAGATGTAAAATAATTTTTTGCCACTTTCACATCTTCAACAATCGAGAGTTCTGCTTTGTTAGGTTTGTTTGGTTCAGGAGTAAGCAAAGGAAGTGACGCAGTAAAAACTTTCTCCCACACTGCAATATGTACTTCTGATGGCAGGACGTTAGGTGGTGAAGAACTCCAATGACACTCTGGTGATTTCAAGTCATCCAGTTCCATCCATCTTTTTCCTGTAAGCATAAAAAGAGAAAAAGAGATGCAAAATAAATTTAGCTTAAAGTGCCACTGAAACGAAATTTTTGTATGTGAGATTTTTGCTTAGTAATAAAGTTTCAACCTTA